AAAGTGATAATCAGGGAAATTACATTTTGCTAAAAGGCACCATAGACAATGAAGTAATAACCAAAGTTTTTACAGCAAGTTTCTTTGATAAATGCTTCATCTCTCAAATATGTAGGGAACTGAGTCAAATTTATAAAAATAAGTATCATTCCCCAGTTGATAATGGTTATAGTATATAAACAGGCAATTTTCAGAATAAAAGCTATCAGTAGTCATATGAAAAAATTATGTAAATCACTAATAGGGAAATGCAAATTAAAACAACTCTGAGGAACCACTTCACATTCATCAAATTGATGAACATGATGGAAAAATAGAGACACTAATGTACTGTTGGTGGAGTTGTGAACTAGTCTAGCCATTTTAAAGAAAACAATCTGGAACTATATCCGAAGGGCAACCATACTGTGCGCACCCTTTGATCTGACAGTACCACTCCTAGGTTTGTATCAAAAGAGAGAGAAAACAAAAAGGAAAAAGACCTATTTGTACAAAAAATGCATAAGCAGCACTTTTTGTGGTGGCCAAGAATTGGAAATTGAAGGATGCCCATTAATTGGGGAATGGCTTATCAAGTGCTGGTATGTGATTGTGATGGAGTACTATTGTGCTGTAAGAAATGAGGAGGATGGTTTCAGAAAAACCTGGACTTACATGAACTGACGTAGAGTGAAGCGAGCTGAACCACATCATTGTACACAGTAACAGCAATATTGTAATGATGATCAACTGTGAAAGACTCAGCTAGTCTGATCGATACAGTGAGCCAAGACAATTCCAAAAGATGCATGGTCAATGCTATCTGCCTCCAGAGAACTGATGAACTCGAGTGCAAATCAAAGTATAATTTTTTTCACTTTTTTTTGCAACATGGCTAATATGGACACGTTTTACATGACTGCATATGTATAACTGATACATTGCTTGCCTTTTCAATGGGTGAGGGAGGAGCTGTAGGGAGGGAATCTGGAGCTCAAAGAAAAATTTTAATATTAAAGAAAAAAATAGAAGTCATTCAGAAGAGAAAGCTGAATTTTTAAAAGGAATTTTTAATGTGCATCAAGAGAGTAGAGCAGAGCAGAGATTTGAACAGGTATAGACTGGCCAAGAGGTTTCCTAGGAGGAGGCAGACATTTTGAATTTGTGCTAAAGGCAAAAGAACTAATTATCAGTCAACTAATACAGTAGGGAAAATGTAGATGAGAACTTTTAGCTTCTGAAATGTTTCCTCTTCTTTATAAGAAACAGCAGCCAATCCACCTACCTCTTAAGGTAAGGTGGGTTGTGGGCTAATTGTACCTTTCTTCTCTTTCAGAGACCATCTGCCCGAGTGGCAGCAAATGTGCTTCACTTAAGCCTCTGGGGTGAAAGTATTTTATCCATGAAGAGTTTGAAATCAGACAAGATGATTGGCTGGCTCCTTCACCAATCAGCTGCCACTCTGCTGACTGATCGGTTGATAGAGGGCAACAGTGTAGAAACCAAAATGAAGATGTGCTTCCTGGCTAACCTGGAGTATGAAGCCCTCTGCCAGGCTGCATTCCTTCTGTGTTCCTGGAGGGCAGCCCCTTGATGCTCCCATGCCACCCAAGGTTTACTAAAAGCACTCAGCAGCATTCTTTGTGTCCTAACAGTATCTCAAGGGAACCCAGTGGCTTTGCAGGTGCAGGAGGTTTGTGTGTGCGCGGGGTAAGAAAATAACAGATGGAGTGGGGAGGGGACGCATGGACTCCCAGCCTTAGAGCCCTGAGCCAGAGCAGGGAAGACACAGAAGCCTTGGATTGGGTAACTGCTGGAAGGATTGTGAAAGGAGTCACTTCATGATCAGATTGTGGCTATTAACTCTAGTTACGCAGCAATGGGCAGGTCATTTACCTTCTAGGTTTCGGCTCCTGGTCTATAAAATGAGAAGGATCAGACCAAGAGGTCACGAAAAAAATCAATTCCTTGTTTGCCCAGTCACGTAGAAGGAGCAGGCAAACTAAAGAATCCAATCCTCATTTCCAAAAAATGAAATTCCTTTATTTCACAAGAAACTTAAGGCAAAAAACAATCTTTTTGCACCAGGGGGAAGGGGAAGAGGCTGGCCAAGTCAATGTGATGGAGAAGGTCTTAAGTTATAACTCTGGTTGTTAAGATCAGAGTATCTCATGCTGAGAGAAGTGGGGGTCCCACCTAACTGGTACACACGTGGCGTGGTCCTGGTGCATTTCTGGGAGGAAAAACCAAAAACCTGGCTCTTGCAGCAGCTTTCCCCGAAGCCTTCTATTTAGCACATCCAGCATCTCAAGAAACAGAAGTGAGTGCTGTGGAGCTTCCTTCTGACTAAGGTCTCTTGTAGGAGCTACTTTCAAGAATTAAATGCATGTTTACAAAGGTACAATATGCCTTGAAATGAATAATAGGGACTTTGTGTGGTTTTATGGTTGGGGACAAAAATAATACCTCTTCACAAACATCTCGTAGTTTAAAAAAAAAAAAAAAAAGCTCAGGCCCAGTTACCCTCAACTTCTGGCTCTAAGGAGACCTGGGTCCAAGGCCTGGTTGTGACAACTGCAAGCTACACAGACCTCTGAACCTCATCTATAAAATGGGGGCAAGAATAGTTGTAATATCCAGAGGCAAAAGCCAATTTTTAGAGAGACAGATATGTGTGTGTGTATGTATACGTGATATACATACACATATCAGCATATACACATATATATCTCAGCTATTATTATATGTCTGATATACACCTGATATATATTTATATGAGTTGTCACAGATACTGTTTGGTATCATTAAAATGCAAAATAGTTCATAAAAACACACCAGCAATGGCTTAAGGAATCATTGCCCTAATATGGTTTTTAGTGATCTGACACACAGAGCCAACTGGACAAAAGATGTCTTGAGTACAGGTAGAATGTGACTCCGTGTGGCTTGTGTTTTACATCGATCAGGAACCAGTTAGGGGAACATCCATTTTTATTTCACAAGTGGGAATGGGTGGCTGCAGCCACTGAAGACCCCAGGGCAGAGAAGCTAGAAGAGAAATGATGCCCCACCCCGTAACTCAATTGTCTCTCACAGAGGTCAGGCTGGTCCAGGCCACCCACACCTGCCAAGTCAACAGCCCGTGAAGGTCCAAGGGCTCTGCCCCTTCAATCAGATTTTTCTTTCTCTTTCATGTGCAAAAAGACAGCACTGAAGAGGAAGAGTCCAGCCATCATAGAGAAAGCACTTGCGTAGTAAGGGAAGGCCGAGGGGATGAATCTCTCGTACTGTGTGTGCTGGAGAGGCCGCACAGACACCTGCGAGAAAGACGAGAGAGGGAGCAGACGGGTCTAGAATGATTGCTTGGCTGGGCACCTGAGCACATGGTCCTGCCCATCCTGAGCCCTCAGCTGCTTACCTGAGTAGAGGAGTACAAGTGAGTGTAGCCCAAACGATTGTAATCCACTTTGAACTGGAAGACCCCATAGACATCTGGCAACTTGAACTGGACGCTGTACTTGCCACCTAGGAAAACCCCAACCACATCAAGAATAGAATTCAAAGAGTGTCCCGTCTAACCCCAAAGGCAAGGTAGCCCAGCCAAGCAGGCAGTGTCAGAGCCAGAATTTGAACTCAAGATCTCATCCCTCCTAAGTCTGACCCACTTTTCCAGGACACTGTGATTACCCACTGGAGGGAGGTGCTTGCGCTATCGCCTGCATGTTCCTCCCCACCCTATTTCAGCATGTTGGGTTCCAGACAGGGAGTCAAAGGGGCTGTGGCTAAATACCACTAAGAGGAAAAGTGGGAGCTATCAGTAACTGTACAGCTAATAAAACCAGTCTAGGGCCCATCCTGCCCGGTGGGGGAGAAGGAGGCTGCCTGGTCTCCAGAGACTTACCCTTCTTCTTCAAGAAAGTCCTCACAAAAGGATCAATCCGGACAAACTCTAGCTGAATGTCATCTCCATCAAAGGGGACCCACTTGCCTTCGGAGAGCTTCTCAATCACGATGCTATATTCCTAAGGCACAAGGCGGGGTTAAGCAGGGCATGACAAAGGCCATGGTCACTGATCTAACACCCCCCACCACACACACATACACACACAAGACTACTGAAAAGGCCTAGAAATAATCACAACCAGATAAAAGTCAGCTACTGCCCCTCACCCACAAATGGTATCTCTCTGGGGTACACGGAGATTTCCTCTTAATTCCTCATCACCAAGTTTTGCATTTCACCTTTCTCAAGCAAAGCATACACTCCATAGTCTCCTTGCCCCAGTAGGTCCTTACCACGAGGTCGGTGACAGTGTAAGCATTGGGTGGGGCCTTCTCTCCGACTCGATGATGAGACACAGCTCCTACCCGAAGCACACCCTCCTCCTTGAACACCCACCGGGACAAGGCAACTGCCAACTCATAGTTGCCTGTTTGGGAATACCTGTACAAGACAGACAAAAAAAGAGAAGGGAAGCGTGATGGCTAGGCAGCCCTGAGGCCCCACTCTGGAATCACAGCATGTTTAAAGCTCCTTGAGTCTAGGAAGAAAGGGGAAGTGACACTCTCCAGCTGACAGCAACATCCTTGTGCTGGCCTGAAGGGAAAGGCACGTTGGGCCATGTTGGGATCAAAGGAGTCCAAGCTGGAAAGGCTCAGAGACAATCTACACGACCTTCTCTTTACAAAGCAGGAGATGATATGCAAAGGTGGAACGACTGAGTCACGAGGGCTAAGTGACAACCTGGAATCACTCAGAAGAACCCCAAAGGTTTCACTGAAGAGCTGAGAAGAGGAAAGAAAACCCACAGGGAGGTGACCATCTACTCTCCTACACACATCTTTAAAAACTAGGAGTAAGCTTTTAATGCTCCTGGCTCTACATCACGTGTAGGAAAATGCTTTACATGATTACTGCGCACATCTGGGAAGAGCTAAGCTAGCCCTGCCTAGCCACTCCTAGCTCTCTCACCAGACCCCTCGGGCCATACCTCTGTGAGCCAGGGCTGGCCTTCTGCACGGCCGAGTTAAAGAAGGCATCACTGAAGAAGTCCAAGGAGCCGCTGAAGATGACTCGGGCATTATTCCGGGCCTGCAGGCCTGCAATCAGGAGGGTGTTCTTCCCCACCGCATGGGGATACTAACAACGAAACAAGACCAAGTCAGCTTCTTGTCGGCTTGAGCCCTGGCCCAAACCCTGAAATCCTAGTTGACCCTAGCTTTCTTCAATGTCCTTCCACTTCCTACCCAGCACCCCAGGTTTCAAAGTCCACCATCCCGAGGTCTGATTTGCTCATCCAAATTCCGCCCCTGGAGTCAGTACAAGAAAGCCTTGTGTCACCTTGCACCAGAGCCCAAGGGCTGGGTTACTCGAAGCCTCCTAAGGGCAGGGCTGGAATCAGAGGTGCTCCAGTGGGCACTCACCTGTGTGATGGGCTTATCTGGGAAAAAGGAATATGAAGTAGAGGAGCCTGTCAGAATATCCAGTACCAGAGGGTTATCGGGATCAGCAACCATCCTACAGGGGAAAGAAAGGAGGCCAGTGCATACACAGGACTTGGCGTACAGACATGCCCCTCTGCTGAGCCAAGCGGGTGGCACCTGGAGTACTCTACTGGCTATTTCTCCCCAGGAGTGAGTCCTGTTTTAAAATAACCAAACAAATTGACACTTTCTATCCTGAGAAAATGAAGTTTGACTCCCAATGACAAAGAACAGAATAACATTGTTAAGCTCATAGGGGCAAAATAATAGCCAAAGAAAGTGAGTTTTGTTTTGTACCCAGGGAAAATTTCTGCCATTTTCTGTGGGAAGGAAAAAGTGACACCCCGCCTCCCAATTCATGGAGGTCTCTGCTGGCCTTTGCTGGATCACTTACCCAACACCCCGAAACAGGATGGGATTGAGGGATGTTCTTCCTACAATGGTCGGGGCCTTGAGGAGGTTTTCAGTGTCTGCCACAATGAGTGTGTGCTGTGAGGAAAGGAGGGAAAGGCAGAGATGGTAAAGAGAAGGTGCCTCCCACACAGTGCTGCTCCCCCACCACGGCCCCTCCCTTCTCTGCCTGCATCATAGAGGCTAAGCCCTTACCTCTCCAGGGTCAGAGATGTCGTAGCTGTGATGGTCAATGACAGCTGTTTTCTCCTCATCAAATTCAATCCCACATTCACTGCCCAGCTCCCTCAGTGGGTCACCTAGACCAGGAAATTCCCAGCTTAGCCTTTACCACAAGTTAAAGATAGGGACTTAGGGACCAAAAGGAAACAAGTTGTGTGTGGCATTTTCCACTGCCTGCCCGTCAGCCCAAGCATCACATTTAGAGGCCAAAAAATCTAAAAGTCAAGGCCATCCATCATGGTCCCTCTTCTCACCAATTCTTTAGCTCCAATTCCCTCCACCTCAGTCCCTTTTGCTCTAGGGTCAAGGAGGTGTCCCCCAGCTTCCTGCCAGGCCAAGCCCTTTACCTGTACCCTCCATCCCTCTCTCCCCTAGGAGCTTACCCCTTTGATCATTCCCATTCTCTTCCTAATTTTCAACCTCTTTTTATCCACTGGTTCCTTCCCAGCTGCTTATAAACACTCTCCCATCTCCCCCATCCTTGACCCTACCATCCTCTCAAGGCGCCAGGAGTGGGGAACCTGCAGCCTCAAGGCCACATGTTCCCCATCTCTGCCTCAAGCTACTGGACTGTATCACTCCTGCTCACAGCCAAACTCCTGGAAAAAGCTGTCTCTTCTCATTGTCTCCACTTTCTCCCATGACCCCTGTCCCCACCATTCCAATTAAAGTGCTCTCTCTGAGGTCACCAACAGCATTCTCTCAGTTTTCATCCTTCTGGACCAACCTGAAGCATCTACTACAGTGAGCCAGACCCCACTCCTACTTCTGGACACTCTTTCCTCCTCCCTGGATTTCAAGAGGCTGTTCGGTCATAGTTCTCTTCTGCACAGTCAGAATGCTCCTTCTCAGTCTCCTTTGCATGCTCACTCATGATCCACCCACCTCTTTGTATGGGCGAACTCCAGGCCTCTGTCCTGGGCCTAGTTCTTAGGCCCAAGTTTTGTGTGACAGACCCCTTTAGCAGTCTGTGTGATGCCTAAGGACACCCTTCTCAGAATGTTTTCATATGCATAAAATAAATACAAAGGATTATAAGGGAAACCAATTATAATGAAATAGTTATCAAATTAATGTTTTTTAAAAAACCAAGCTCAAGAACTCCAGGCTAAGATTCCAACTCTACATTCTCTCTCATTTCCTCCTATGGGATCAACTATTTTATCTCTGAAGACAATCCCACATCTATATAGCTACACCTCATCTCTCAAATTCCAGTTCCATAAAACCAACTGCCTGCTCTAATCTCCACCTGAATGTCCCATAGACAACCAAACTCAACTTCGTTGAAACAGAATTCATTACATTTTCCCTTAAACCCACTTGAACTCACCAAAGTTCACTACCTCAGAAACATTCTTGACTCATTCTCCTTCACCCTCATATGCAATCAGCTGTTAAATCTTGTTGATCTTCCCTCCTGAACATCTGCCCCCTTCTCTCCACACACCTACTACCTTAGGTCAATGGTCTCTCTTCATGGCTTCCTGGGTGGTCTCTCTAACTCCAGACCCTCTCCACTCCACCCAGCTGCCAAAGTGATCTTCCTAAAGCCCATAACTAACGAAGACACTCGGCTGCTCAAGAAGTTCCAATGGCTTCTCCTTGCCTTTGGGTAAAATACAAACCCCTCTGGTATCTACAGCATTTCACACACAGGCTCCAACCCACCTTTCCAGACTGGTCACACACATACAAACACACCACTTTCCAGAATGATCTATCTCTCTTTCTCACAGACAGACAGACAGACAGACAGAGACACACACACACACACACACACACACACACACTCACTCACTCACTCACTCCCCATCATATACCCTACATTTTTGCCAAACCGTTGCCTTGATAGTTCCAATACAAGACAGTCTATCTCCCACCCTGTGTACAGGCTCTTCCCCTTTGCCTCTCTTCTTTTGCACTACAAGTTCCACAATGAAAGGAGGGGAGGAATCCTCCCACTCCCTCCCCCCTCCCAAAAAAAAGACTCTTTTAGGGCCCCACACTAGGCTCACAGCTTCTATTTCCTTTACTCACAATAACAGCAACTTATAACCATATAGCACTTTTTGGTTTAAAATATCTTTTTTTTGTTTGTTTAAAATATCTATCCCATTTGAGTTTCACGCCAATCCAGTTGGGTAAAAAGAAGTAACAATACAAGAATCATCACCTCCAAAACTGAGGACCTAAGAGATCTGGCCAGTCTCTCATCACACTGTGAGTTACAAAGCTGGGCTCTGAACTTGTCTCCTGACTCCATACCAATTTTCTTTACAGTTAGAACCATAGAGAAACAAGGTCAGGGTATGATAGCATTGCCATGTTGTTCCAGCTCACCCAGGTTTGGCAAATACTAATTTGACAATCTGCACTTGTGATTGGGGGGGTGGGAGGAGAAAATGAAAAATAGCCTATGTCTTGAATTCGAGGAAAGACCATACTCACCAATGTCTGAGCTGGCAGCCACCAAGACACTGCCACCTCCATCAATAAAAGAACTGATGGTCTCTACATTAATATTGCCTCCAAAATCTGAAAGACATCAAGGCACAATGAGTCACTACTGTCTCAAGGATTCTGCCCCACAAAGATCAAAGATGTAGAGTGCTCATCCTGGACACTACCTACACCAGGAAGTCTTATTTAACCCTACTCTCTACCTCCAAACAAAAGTAAACACTCTCACCTCAAACTCCTTTCAGCTCTTTGATGGGACTTCATCCTTTGTACTTACCTAATTCTCCCATTTGCTGTTTCCCTTCTTTTCCCACCTCACCTCACCCCCATCTAGTCAGTTATGCTTCTGTCCTCCATACTTATGCACAGTGCACCACCTTATACAGCGTGGACACAAAATAGATGTGATGGCGAATGAATGGTGCTGGGAGCTGCCCCTGTCATGGGAACAAATCTGCTTCTAGGAAACCTTTTTAGCATTGATCCCAGTCTAAACACAACAGCAGGTAGCCTGGGTCAGCTGCCTGGTCCATCTGGTAATAACTGGTGAAGGCTCTGTACCACCCACCCCTAACTTTGGGGGCTTTAAAGTGGACCATCTGTAATAAGGAAGGCTCCTTTGAAGAGAGCAGCAACCAAAAGGCAGGCTAAGTGACTGTTGCTCCAGAATCATCTGTGCTACGTGGGCCTCTCTCTTCAAGGGCAGATGCTCCCTGATCAAGACCACAAACACTTACCTTCCACAGAAGGAGAGAAGATGATAAGATTGTCATACAGGAACTCCCCATACTTAATAAGAGACAGGCTGGGGTCATCAGCGGTCCTATAGGTGAGGTCAAAGCCACGGTCTGCAAGAAAACAAGGAGGCAATGACCCTACCCACAGCAAGGCACAACGACCATAGGCCCCACTGAACTCTCCCTTCTACAGATTAAGAGAGGAGTGAGACAGAAACGTTTTCGAAGCCTTCCCTGAACCTGTACCATCCTCCCCATATCTCTATCTGTTAAAATCCTACTTAACCTTGCAAGGCCAAGCTTACTCATTTCAATGCCACTACCTCCATTCAGCTTTCCTTGATTCCCCTCAGCAATGAGGCACACAGTTCATAGATCATACATGAATATTAATGATAATTTAATTCTTTATGTGTAATGAACTGATGAAGGACATGTGGTAGCAGGTAGAAGAGGGTCCTGCATTTTCCCTTCCTAACAAGAGTAATCCCATTTTCAAATATGCCTCCATTTCAAGTATAAATGAGCAGTTACACCTAATTCTAATACCAATCAAAAGACAAAATTCACTATCTAGGACCACCAAAGTCAATGACAGAGTAGCAGACAGAAAATCTGTATCCCCTACTCTGAAACACAATGAACAAGGCCAGTTGCTACAATCCTAAAGTCAGAATGGCTGTTTTCTGTATACTCTAAGTATCTATGGGAAACAGTATATATTGACAAAATGTACCCACAAAGACATACTTCTCTGAGTGTTAACTGATTGTTTCCTCTGCCATGACATGTGAAAATGTAGAAATGAAGCCTTCTTCTAATGTATTATCAATTTTTTATCTTGCCATGACAGTTCAATTCTGAAAGAACTAAGCCCCTAGTACTTCTGAGCTATTAAAAGAACCAAAGGACAGCTGGGTAGATGCCAAAAGACACAGACAAGATTTCCACAAGATTAGGCTACAGAAGACTGGGGCGAGGGGGGGGGGGCAGGGGAGGTTTGAGGAGACGAAACTAATCAGTACCTACAGGGGGCAGTTAATTGTCAAAGTGGATTAGAAAGAGGGCCCTGGAATCGCAAGACCCAAATTCAAATTCAGCCTCAAACACTTCCTAGCGGTATGACCCTGAGCAAGTCACTTCATCCCATTTGCCTCGGTTTCCTCATCTGTAAAAGATCTGGAGAAGAAAATGGCAAACCACTTGAGTATCTCTGCCAGGAAAACCCCAAATGGGGTCACGAAGAGGAGGACGTGACTGAAGTGACTCCACAACAAGAAGGACCTACTAAGTGAAGGACAATGTGCAAAGGATACAAAGAAAGGTAACAGGTAAGCCCTGGCCCTCAAGGAGCACAAGATCCTAAGGAAGAGACACCAAGCCAATGACTTGGTGCAAACAAGCCACTGATAAATTAAGATAATCTTAAAGGAAAGGAACTAACACTAAGGGAAATGGAAAGGCTTCTTGCAGAAGATAGGATTTCTGTGGTTGAGTAATGTCTGACTCTTTGTGACCCCACTTAGGGTTTTCTTGGAAAAGATACTGGAGTGGTAGGCCATTTCCTTCTCCGGCTCATTTTACAGATGTGGAAACTGAGGCAAACAGGGTTGAGTGACTTGCCCAGGGTCACACATAAGTGTCTAAGGCCGGGGGCTCTATCCACTGACCCACCTAGGCACAGAAGGAAACCAGGGGGGAAAAGAGAATGAAGGAGGAGGGCATTCCAACCCATCCCAAGCCCGCCCCATCTCAGTCAGCCCTGGGACCTCCCCATCTCAATCCTTTCATCTCCTCTCCTAGACTCCTCACCCTCGTGACCTCTCCACGCCACCCCTCCAGGCCTTCACCCCGCTCTTACCCCACAGCCCCCAAGCTGCCTCCCCGTCCTATCCATGCCCCCACTTCGTGGTCCATTCACTACCCTCAGAAGACAACACCATCTTCCGAGGGTCCCCCTCCCCCAGCGCAGGCCTCCGCCCCCTCCTCTCTCCCTCCCAGTCCCTCTGCCCCTCCTCCCACAGCTCCCTCCTCTGTCCCTCCCCTCCCCAAGCGCACGCCCCCCACCCCCTCACCCGCCAGGCTCCGGAAGAAGAGCGAGTGTGTCTCGCGCAGATTGACGTTCTCCAGCAGCACGAGGGTCCGGCGGGCTCCGGCGCTGGCGCTGGCGGTGTCGAAGCCCAGCAGCGGCAGCAGGAGCAGGAGGAGCAGGCTCGGAGCCCGCACGGAGGCGGAGGCGCGGCAGGACCGGCGAGCGGCAGACACGGGGCCGGCCGCCATCTTCCTCCTGCCGCCACAGTTCTCCGGAATGCCGCCCCGGAAGTGCTCTGGCCGCAGCTGTCCAATCGCCGAAAGCAGGTGCCGGAAGCAATTTGGCCTCCCGGAAGTCCGGGTGGAAGTGTTCTGGCGGCGCGAGCAGAAGCTCCCGAAGGGCGGGGGAGAAGAGTCTTGAAGCCCATTGGGTTGGAAGAACGACGCCCCGCCCCCGCCACCTAGGGAACGCGTCAATCCCGATGAGCCAGCTCTGCAGAGGAGACCAATCAGTAACGCCCGCCCCAGAAGGGCAGCCCCTTTCCGGCTCCTCGCACAGCTAGTACCTGGAGAACTTCCCATCACACCGTGCGTCCTCTGCCCCCAGCCCCTCCTGCAACGCTGGCCCTCCCACCTGAGCTTACTGACACCGCCACCCCGCTGCAGGCCTCGGGGGGCAACACTGGACCTCGGGACTGAAAAGAACCGAGATGGGAACACTGAGGCCCAGAGAGGGCGAACAACTGGCCCAAGGTTACACCACGCGGCAGCGGCTTTGGAGCTGCGCTTTCCATCCCCTTGTTCCCACGTCCTGAACCAATCCTAGGAAGGCGCCCCGAAGTACTGCAACATCCTCCTTGTTTTCCCGGTGTCCAGTCCCCTCCATTCGGCTTCCAGATCAATCCAAGGCCCATCTGACTACGTCACTCCTCGGCTCAAAAACCTTCGGTGACTCCCTACTGCCTCCTACTCACTTGGAAAAGTTAAAAAAATATTGAGTCACTTAACCTCAGTGCCTCAGGTTCCACATCTGTAAAATGAGAATAATAGCACTTACTTCCAAAGCTTATGAGGATAAAAATGAGATAGTTGCAAATGGCTTTTCAAATCTTAAAGCCATATATAAATGTTATTACTTTCATCACAAGTGGGAAACTCCTGGTGTGAAATGACCCCTGATCTGATGCAGATAACTAGCTGTCTTTCGTACAGAGTTGCCTGGGACACAGGTTAAATGACTTCCCCAGGGTCACACAGCCCATAGGTGTCTGGAAGGTCTCCAGCCCAAGGTTTCCTGATTCTGAAGCTAACCCTCTGGCTTCTCACCCAGTAGGTCCCTTGCATATTTACACAGTAGGCATTTAGTGTTTATGGAATTGAACTGAATTGAGGGTATGATATGTAAATGTATGCGTATCAGTAATATTTTAGGACAATGGTTATAAATAGGATGGATGAGATGGAGGAGGAAGAGATAGGAGTCAGGAAGAACACTCCAGGAGGCTATTAAATTGTGCTTCTTAGGGTCGTAGCTTTAGAGGACATATAGTTCAACTGTCCATTCTGCCTATGAGGAAACTGAGAAGGGGTCAAGGGACTTGACCAAGGTCAGAACATAATATAGCTAGGGGCAGAAGCCTGAGTTTGAAGCCAGCTCATCTAACTCCAAACAGCCCACCTTCCCCCATACCATGTTGCCTCCCCTTCCCAGACTCCCTGTTTTGGGGGCACCTGAGGGGCCCAGCTCTGGATGGCCCCTGGGGTCTCAAAACAACAGACAGGAGTCGCTCCGGGGGAGCTTGTCAGAATGAGGCAGTTTAATGTGCCAGCTCGGTGGGAGGATCCCTGTGTTCGTTGGGGAAGGCCAGCTCCCACCTGGAGCGGGCGGTCCCCAGGGAGGCCAGGGCTTGTCCCACCATCCATCTGGACGCGCCATTTATTTTTATTTTTCTCATCAGGAATCCAAAGCTCAATCAACAGCAGAGGCCAAAGAACGACCCTCTCCCTCCCTCTGGTCAAATGGCTTTCTTTCCAGTCTCATCCATGCAAAGGGACAGGGTGCCCTCGGTCTGAAGGGTGGCTCCCCAGAAAACCCTTGGCGGTGGTGCGTTTGGGGAGGGGTGGTCCGCTAAGGTCCGTCAGGATCACCACTGGCTGGCAGGTGCTCAGGGGGGCTCAGGCTGCAGGTGCAAACAAAATGGGGGAGAGTGGGGGGCAGGAAAACAGCTACTGCTGTGTCCCTTTTTTAGGAGCGAGAACGGAACTGTTGGAGTGGTTGGAGAGGTATCCATATCATAAAGCGTAAGGAGTCCTTCCTCGCCTCAGTCCTGCCAGCCAGGTAGGCTGAGGACAGGCTGGAGGAGCTGTCCCCAGCCCAGGGCCAGCTGGCACCCTCCCCACCCCCTCCCCCCCGGCCGGAGGGGAAGGGAGGGGAGGCAGAGTCCAGCCGGGCCAGGACAGGGGCATTCAGCCCAGGGCGGGGCAGGGCAGGGCAGGGTGCTCAGAGGGGCTCGTTGCCAAAGTTACTTTTGCTTTTCTTGCGCTTGGCTTTGGCAATGGGGATGTCCAGCGACTCGAGACGGAAGGGCCGAGGCTGGGGCATGTCCGTGGCCTGGGTGGGCAAGGTGGGCGTCACGATGGAGGAGGCGTTGTTCAGGGAGGAGTTGAGCCCGGGCGGCGAGTTATGGTAAGCTGCGGAGACAGGGGAGACAAGGAAACCAGATGAGGAATCCTGAAGGAAACAGAGCTTACAGGAGTGGCTGTCAGGCCATCCATCCATCCACTCCTTCACTCACTTTCACTCACCTACTTTGCACCAAATATGATAGGAAGCATAAGACCCAAGTCCTTGCATTTAAGGAACTCAGTAGGGGTGATGAGATACGTCTACAGACATAAAATAAAGCGTCGTAAGAAAAATGACTCCCATTCATCACGCTTTTGGCACAATTGCAAACCCCATCTTACAGATGAGGAAATGTAGGCTTGGGGCATGGTGGGGACTCATTCAAGGTCACATTGATAGCGAGGGGCAGAAACAGGTTTTGGAACCCAGGACTTTGACGACTTGAAGGGTAATGTTCTTTCCGTTGTACAAGCTGATACCTAAATAGGGTACTGAACTGTTGCTTAAGTGATCAGAATTATTGTTACACACACATGTCTTTGCAATGTCAAGGGAAAGGAAGGAAGAAACTGTCCTGCCCCTCCCCATGCTGGATGGACCCCCAGTGATGAATTTAAGGAAGGACATAGACAAGGGTCACAAAGGGCAGGCACACAGGGATAGGTTGTGATCTGCATTGTTGGAGGGATTAATGAGACCCTCGCCCTGTTGGTGTGTTTGAATGGCTCCCATATAAGAGCTCCCATGGATACAGTGATTTACAGTTTATACAGGATTTTTTTTGGGGGGGGGGTCAGTCAGTAAGCATTTATTAAGTGTCTGCTATGTGCCAGACACTGAGGACACACAGAAGGGCAAAAGGTAATCTCTGCTCTCAAGGAACACATAGTCTAGTGGAGCATTTGAGTGGGATCAGGACAGGTTTTTTTGTAGAAGATGGGATTTTTCCTAGGGCTTGGAGGAGGAAGCCAGGGAAGCCAAGAGATGGAGATATTTCTCTGTGTGGTCTCTTCTCCAAGTTAAACCTCCCCAGTTCCTTCAATGGATCCTCATATAACATGGACTACAGCTGTCCATCCCATTGTCAATGGTCACCATCCTCTGGAAGTACTTCAATTTGTCAATATCCTGTCTAAAATGTGATGCTCATTAAAGAGCATAATACTCCAGGTCATACAGAATTTTCTTCACTACAGGGCTGTGAGTTGGGTGACTTAGTATTATCCCCATTTTACATAAGAGGAAATGGGCCCAAAGACATTGGGTGACTTGCCTACAGACATGCTGCAGGGCAAGGACTCAAACCCAAGATTTCTAACTCTAAGTCAGAAGTGCTCTCCCTCCTACATCTTGCTTTGGACAAGTGGAATGTATATTGCTTGCTTTTAAAAATTGAATTAAGTTGTTTTGTACACCAAAGAATTGCCACTGATGATCCCCCATAGGGCAGTGGAGAGGTGCATGGTGGGTGTGAGCAGTCTTCAATCCACTGGGAATGAGAAATTATACAAGAGAAGTGGTTTAAAGCAGCGAGATCAAGTTCAAATAGAAACACTTCCCGAGAGACTACATATTGACTCAGAAGCCCACAAATGAACATTTACCTGTTATGTTGTATTCTTGTTTATTTTGTTAAACATTTCCCAATTCCCTTTTAATCTGGTTCCTGGCTGTGCCAGACATCTGGCTACAAATCTGACACCTCTGGCCTAAAGGATGTTGCCTAGAAAAAGTATGACTGGAGAAAAAGATGAATATGGAGGGAGAGCAAGGGATAACAGCCTGTGCAGTCCAGTGGTATCTAGGCAATGTCAATGGAACAAGAGAAGGGCTTTCAGCATGTTGAATGGACCATCAGGGATAACTTTATGGAAGGACCTTGGCAAGAGTAACCCAAGATGAGTAGCCAGGTAGCTGTGATCTCCATCACTTCAAGGAAAAGGCATGTCGATAGGGTTATGTATAGTTGTTGTTCAGTCGTTTTTCAGTTGTGTCTGACTCTTCATGACCTCATCTGGGGTTTTCCTGGCAGAGATCCTGGAGTGGTTTGTCATTTCCTTCTCCAGCCCATTTTACAGATGAGGAAACTGAGACAAACAAGGTTAAATGACTTGCCCAGGATCACACAGCTAGTAGGTATCTGAGGTCAGATATGAACTCAGGAATATGACTCTTCCTAACTGCCAGCCAAGCACTCTGTCCACTATGCCGCCTACCTGCCCGCAGAACCAACAGTTCCTTTTACCCATATGTTCCATCCCTTCATGTATTTTTCTATTGATTACTGGCCCTTGGCAGATCAAGTTTCCCTGTCCCTGGTGACTATAACTTAGTAATCATTATCATTTCCATTTCTAAAGCACCTGAAGGCTTACGAAGTTCTCTCCTCATGATAGCTCTAAGAAATCAAGAACTTCTGGTTACAGCGGACCCCGAGTTCTCCCCTAGTGCACTAAGATTTGGGTCTGAATCCCAGCAACGCCACTCAGTGACCTTGTAGCCACTGTGACCGCGGACAAGTCACCTGTCCTCTAAGGCGCACAACAAGGTGCTTGGGCTAGCCAGGCACTAAAACCCCTTCCAGCTCTAGACACTATCTCAGACAAGACAGCAGGAATTCATTCTCCCGTTTCCGTGGCTTTGCCATCGGCGCCCCTGGGTCTAAAGCGCGTGCTTCTCCTTTCTGCTTCATAGAACCCTTCACTTCTGCCAAGACGTCCACACGAAGCCTTCCCTGCTCCCCATGCGTTAGAGTCCTCCTTCCCAAATTAACTTGCAATCACTTTACACGTATTTATATATGTATGTATGGGTGGGTGTATGACATATTATTCCCCTCAAAAGAACGTAAGCTCCTTGAGGGCAGAGGCTGTTTCATTTTAGTCTTTGTATCCCCAGAACCTTGGACAGTGCCTGGCCCATAGTAGAAGCTTAAGAAATGTCTTTTTGATTGACCAATTGATGTATTTGTAAATATGTATATGTTACCCCCCTCCCCCAAACAGAAAGTAAGTTTGTCAAGGGCCAGGAATGCTTCATTTTAGTCTTTGTAACCTTAGTGCCTGGCTTACAGATGGATCGACTGACCGATGGACTCACTAACACAAGCCAAGAACCCCACCCTGGGTGAGGGACCAAGATTCCATGGAGAACCTCTTTTTCTTCCCTTCCCCTCTGTCCTCTCCAGGGGTGTCAGGGGTGTCTGGCCAGTTCTAGTTATAGCAGGACTTTTTCAGCTGGGCTATGAATTAAGGAGGAGGGGTAGGAAAGGAGAGGCATCCCCTACCCAGGCTCTTCATGGGATCCGTACTGAGGATCTGGCTGGCCCGTTTGGATCGGAAATAGTTGCTGGCAATATTCTCACTGTCGCTCCTATTCAGCATTAGCTTGTAGCGGTCTTCCTCCTGCTGGGATAACCAAGGCCCGTAAGCTGAGACCCCTCAGTGGCTCCAGCCCCACCCTCACCCCATCCCCACCAATGCCAGCATACAAAGCTCTGTCACTGTAGGGTTTACAAAACATTTTCCTTAAGTAGGTAGGGCAGAAATCATTAATCTCATTTTATAGATGAGGAAACTGAGTCCCAGGAAGGTGAAGTTTCATGAAGCTATTAAGGGCCACAAATAGGTTTCAAACTCAAGCCTGGCCATGCCCAAGGCTTTCCCAGTCTTTGCACTTTGCACTAATACTAGTTTCTCCCCCTCCCAAACCCCTTTCTGCTCCCGCTGCAGCTGCCATCTTCAGCCCTTGCCCCCATCTAGTAATAACAACCATTATAGTAATTGCAAGGCACCATGCTAAGTGCTTTACATATGTCTCCTTTGATTCTCACAACAACCCCAAGAGGTAGGTGTCATTGCTGTTTTACGTTTGAGGAAACTGAGGCAGACAGCAGTTAAGTGACTTGTCCAGCATCACATAGCCTGTTAAGTGTCTGAGCCCAGATTTGAACTCAAGCTTTCCTGACTCCAGGCCCAGTGTTCTGTGCACTGCTCCATCTTTTCCCTACCCTGTCCCCATATACTCTTGCCATGCTAGGTTGCCTCCATTCTTCCTCAACCCGCCAGCTGAAGAGCATGTGTTCCATTCACTTACTCCAGGCCCAGCCCTGGAAGCCTGTGGCCCACCCTCAACCCCTAAGATCTGTTGTAAAAACATCACCAGTGCCTCCTTTGACCTTCTCAGTGGTTTCCAGAGAGCAAAGGTTCCAAGCAGTCTTTACCTTCCTTGTTCATGGAACCTACGCTCTGTATCTCTTTTCCTTCCTTCCTCCTGTTCTGGCCGGTCCACCGGCTGTGATCCATGCACACTTGGTACACTCTTGTCTTCGTACATACACACAGCCCACTCCTCTAAGTGTCCCCTTCTCCACATCAATCCACGACTCAACTGGGTCCCATCTCCTCTAATCCTAACCATTCCCACCCATGCCATCCTCTGACCCCCTTCCCCAAACTCCTATGGTGCTTGTCCATACCACCATTCAGTTTAGCCTTAGACTGATTTATACTGCTGGTTATCTTCCTATTTTTTGCATAAAGTCCTAGTACCTGAGCAAAGAAAACTACCCTAAGGTCTGGGAAGTGTGCAGGGTTCATTTCTTCTCTGCTTTACCATCACCAACAATGCCATGCTCCATTGCCCCCAGAGGCACATGCTGTACCCAAGATGGTGACGCACATCTCCATCTTTGTGTGAGTACAGCCCTGAGCGGGGTTGGGGGGGGTGGCCAAGAATGCCATCCACACATGCAATGTGCCCCAAGCCCAGGTCAGTATGGGTCAGCATATGCAACAATGGGTCAGCAATATTCGACAGCCAAAAAGCCTAATGCAATCTTGGGCTGCAAAAAGAAAGGCATTGCTTCCAAGAACAAAGTAGGGGAGAGTCCCTCTGTTCTCTGCCCTCATCAGAGGGCATCGTGGGGCGTCGAGTTCAGTTCTGGGCTCCACCATTAGGGAAGGACACTCCTAAGGCAGAGGGCGTCCAAACAAGGGCAGCTCCTTTGGTGAGGGGCCTCGAACCTATGCCACGTGAAGAAAGGCTGAAGGAACTGCAGACATTTTGCCTGGGGAAGAGAAAACTCAGAAAGAATGGGATACGTGAGGTCAAGTATCTGAAGGGCTGTTACATGGGAGGAAGATTGGGCTTGTCCTGTTTGGCCCCAGAGGACAGCCCCAGGAACAGTGTGTGGAAGTTATAAAGAAGTCAATGTTTTCGAGTTTCCAGGAAGTTTCCCCTGAAATTGATGCCTAGTGATCAGAGCTATGCCAACAAGGAATGGGTCGCCCGGAGGGGTGGTGGCCTCTCCTCCTTGGAAATCATCAAGCCATCTTGGCTGGATGGCCTATGGAGGGGATGATGGAGAAGGGATTTTTGGACGGGAATGGGTAGGGCCTGGGGATCTCCCCTCTGCGGGTAAGATTCGGTGATTCCATGAAAGACTAACAACAGTAATCACTGCCAACATTGAAGCACCTTGAGGTTTTTGGCCATTGATAAGAGTGACTTTATATAAGTCTGCTGACTGAGAATCTAGCTAAGGGAAAAGAGGCTCAAATGCCAGGTTTATTCATTTCTTCAATTCACAAGATGGATCATTGACTAAATGATTGATTACTAAGGCACTGGAGGGTTCGGGAGCTGCACCCACTAAAACGTGTCTTTAAAGTTGTGTGTGTTACCCATGGTACTCCCTGCTCAAGAAATTCTGTAATAGACATTCTTTTTTTTTCCTTTTTGATGAGGCAATAGGGGTTAAGTGACTTGCCCAGGGTCACAAAGCTAGGAAGTGTTATGTGTCTGAGGTCAGATTTGAACTCAGGACGTCTTGACTTCAGGGCCGGTTCTCTATCCACTGCGCCACCTAGCTGCCCCTGTGTAATAGACATTCTAAGGGGCAAATATGACTAGAAAAGAAGGTAGTCAGGTAATGTACTAAGAATTAACAGCAACACAAGGTCAGCTTAGGTGTGGCAATGGTATCAGGTATCAGGTTTTTTGTTTCTTTTTGTTAATTTTTATTTTTTTAAGACCGATTCTCTCCATGTCCTCCAGGGAAGTCCAGGGATTGGGTCCAATCATCCCACTACTGATAGGCATGGGAGCTTTGACCTGCTGTTTATGACCTGGGCTGGTTCACCCCTTCTTAGAAAAGCTGGTGGCCCCCCAATACCAGAGGCTCTCCATAACAATGCCAAACTTAGTGGTGATGCCCAGTCAACATAACTCACTGAGGCTCAGAACTGGTAGATGGGATGAGCCACCATGCCCAGCTCCAGAGGTTTTTACAAACCAGAGGAAGGCCTCTGACAGAATAGGTCAGTCCTCTGTGGAAGTTCACAATGTAAAAACCAGTATGAGAATCTTGTAGGAATGGGCAGGTTGCCATCTGTACTGAGGGAGGAAGTCCCTGAGCTGATAAAATCATGGATCCATTCAACATGCCAATTATCAGCAAATTATTGAGAATAATTATCCTTCAGGCTTGGTTCAGAGGAGCTAACAGGAAGAGAATGGTCAGCTTCAGCTTCATAAGCACCATGCTACTCTAACCATAAGTTAGGGACATAAAGTTGGGTCAATCCCAATATAGTGTTTCCTCATTCGTGTAGGAGGTAATAGGTGGGAAGACTAGGACATTGAAGATGTCCTTCTTCAAGCTTCTAGGATGGAAATACTGAATCTAAAGTCTCACTATCTCTAAATTCCCTTTCCAACTTAAACATTCTATAGCTAACATTACTCTCAAGTTCTAACATTCTTTTGTTTTAAGTTCCCTCCCAGCTCTGACATCCTCTGTTCTAGGGTTCCTCCCAGTTCTGATTTCCGTGTTCTAAGGGCCCTCCCAGCCCTGACATTCTATGTTCTAAGGGCTCTCCTAGTTCTGACATTCTTCAGCCCCTTGCCTTCATTCACCCCATGTTCTACCAATCTCATTTCAAGCTGCATCATGAGATACTGGGACCTACCGATGGTTCTCCATTATCAGCTGAACAGGTTTTTCTTGAAGGCTTATTCTGTGGTAATGTTGAAACTGCTATGAGAAAAGAGAAATTGGAGTCACTCCTTACACAAACAGGCCTATGGGCAAAAAGCAGGGCTCTTCTGCCTTCAAACCCAGGGTGCTTTCTACTACGCTGAAATGTGGCTTAGGAGTAAGAGGGAAACCTTGGCTAAGGAGGAAGGAAAAGACGATGCTTCTAAGGGAACAGATGACAGTTCCTCAGGAAAACATGGGCTCACAAGGAGGCCACTGAGGCCATCCCTCTGGCTCTAACAGCACAGTAGGAACACATCATGGCACACCCAGAAGGTCTCCTAGAACATGCACTGTTAGAGTTAGGAATAAACTGACAGACCATCTACTCTAATCCCTGGGTGTACGATGAGGAAACTGAGGCCAGGAAAAGATAAGTGGTCAACCCAAGGACAAACAAGTTTGGTTCAAAGGGCAAATTTTAGGGTTTGTTTGAAGGCTCAAAGGAACCAGAGAGAAAGCTGTGAGATGGAGGGGGAGGGGAGATGTTGAAGACAGAATTAGGCAGAGGGTGGGAGGAAGGAGGCAATGTTTCATATTAGAAAGATGACTGGACCAAGCACTAGAAGGACTGGGTTTGAATCCTGTCTCAGCCACTAACTTAATGTTAATTTTACCTGTGTAAAATGAAATATTTGCCCTAGGTGACTTTATGTGCCTCCCAGCTCTGATGTCCTGTGTTCCGAAGTTTCTGCTGGCTCCGACATTCTGTGTTCCAAGGACCCTCCCAGCTCTGACATTCTGTGTTCCAAGGACCCTCCCAGCTCTGACATTCCCTGTTCTAAGGGCCCTCCTAGCTCTGACATTTTGTGTTCTAAGGGCCCTCCCAGCTCTGACATCCTGTGTTCTAAGGGTCCTCCTAGCTCTGACATTTTGTGTTCTAAGGGCCCTCCTAGCTCTGACATTTTGTGTTCCAAGAGCCCTCCCAGCTCTGACATTCCGTGTTCTAAGGGCCCTCCTAGCTCTGACATTCCATGTTCTAAGGGCCCTCCTAGCTCTGACATTCCGTGTTCTAAGGGTCCTCCCAGCTCTGACATTCCCTGTTCTAAGGGCCCTCCCAGCTCTGACATTCCCTGTTCTAAGGGCCCTCCCAGCTCTGACATTCCCTGTTCTAAGGGCCCTCCTAGCTCTGACATTCTGGGTTCTAAGGCTCCTCCCAGCTCTGACATTCTCTGTTCTAAGGGCCCTCCCAGCTCTGACATCCTGTGTTCTGAGGGCCCTCCCAGCTCTGACATTCCCTGATTCTGTGATACTTAAAGAAGGAGGGGAAAGCACCCATACAAGGGTGAGGGTAACAATTTCTAGGCCCTTTTGGGTCAGACGCAGCCAAACTCTTTACCTACAGGGAGACTGGTTTTCACAATGACAGGCTCTGGCACTTTCCAGAAGCCATTCTCTTCATCCCAGGATGATTCCCGCTTGATCTTATCAAGGTTGCTATAGTTACAGTCCCGTCGAATCAGTGGCTGCATCTGTTCGAGAAGCTGCTGGAAAAGCAGGAAGTCTCGCTCTTGCCTGCGGATGGTGGCCAAGTAATCAATCTTCTCCAGCTCAAATTCTGACTGTAGATCTTTGATCTCCACCTCTGCAGCCCGCAGCTAAAAGACAAGCATACTGATGCATGAGATGGGAAAGGGCATTTCATAGTTTGTTTCATTCATTTATTCATTCATTCATTCAATGACATTTCCCCTCCTCTCCAGCCTATAGCCTGAAAGACAAGGACATCAGTCAGTGAGTTAGTAAAGGGCATTTCATGAGGAGCCATAAGTAAAAAAATATTTATGGCAGCTCTTTTTGTAGTAGCAAAGAACAGGAACCTAAAGGGAGTTGGCTCTTTATTAAGGAATGACTGAACAAATTTATGGTATATGAATGTAGTGGAATATTATTATTCTGCCATTGGAAATGACAAAAGGTACTGTTTTATTTTTTTTTTTTTTGCAAGTCAGTTGGGGTTGAGTGACTTGCCCAGGGTCACACAGCTAGTAAGTATCTAATGTCTGACACCTTATTTGAACTCAGGTCCTCTGGACTCCAGGCTCTACCCCCTGTGCCACCTAGCTGCCCTCAAAAAGTTAGAGAAACCTGGGAAAACTCATATGAACTGATGCAGAGGGACATGAGCTGAGCCAGGCGAACAATTTATATAATGATAACATTGAAAAAGATAAACATCTCTGAAAATATTAAAAACTCTGGTGAGCAAAATGATCAAGCATGACTCCAGAAAACAAAGGATAAAGCATGCTACTCACCTTATGTCAGGGAGAGAATGGACTAAATATGTAAAATGAGACATATAGTTTTTTGTGACCAATGAGAGAATTGGTTTTACTTGACTATGCCTAGTTTTTAAAAAGATTTTGTTTTTGTTTTGTTTCTTTTAAGTTGGGAGGGAGGAAAGAAAAGTCAATTAATTATCATTCACAATAGTTATGTTCTATAAAGTCACCATGAACACTGAATTAGTGAATATTGAACCATTGTTCCCAGGGAAAATGCAAGGTTAAGTTCCTTCGGGCCTCTGTGTTTAGCACATCACAGAGAAGTCTACAGACCAGAGAATTTTCTCTTCCTTTTTCTAAATGTATCATATTGTTGATTCATTAACATTAAACTCACAGCCATCAGTACTATAACTCATGCCTGAAGGAAGCTTATTTAATGCATGTATTTTCTCTGCAAGATCCCACTTGTGCCTTTATCCAACTCATTGATAATAATATCAAACAGCATCCGGCCAGGCTGAGACACTCCCCCACAGACCTACTTCTGAGATTTTATCAAATCATCAAGCCCAACTATCCAACCATTTATGAATCCATCTAACCAGACCATCTCTACCCCACTGTTCTTTTTTCCACAAGAACAATGTGAGATATATTACTGAACACTTGGGTAAAATCAAGGTAAACTCTATAGCATTCTCCAGGCCTATCCATGGAGCAACCCTGTCAAAAAAAAAAAGAAAGAACTAAGTCTAGCCTAGCAAGATCTGTTTTTGTTGGAGCCGCATAGAACCTTTGGGATCACTTCTACATAATTACAAAGCTTCTCTTTAATCATCCATTCTAAGGAATGGACAGGAATCAGTCAAGTTCACTGACCTATAGTTTCCAGACTTGATTCCCTTCCCTTTTTTAGAAATCAGGACATTTGCCCTTCTCCAATCCTGTGACAATTTTCCCCTTCTCCATGATCTTTCAAATATCACTCTGAGTGATCCAGCAAGTTCTTTTGGTATCTAAGAAAGTAATGCATTCAGGCCAGATGCCTTGAATTCATCAAGGGGAACTAAGTGCCCTCTTACCATCTCCTTACTTGTCTAAGGCTCCTGATTGGTCTGGGAGCTATTATTGGTCATTCAATGAAAGTCAGAGGGATTTGGGTAGTAGCCAATAGGAATTTGCAGCAAATCACTGGACTCCTTTCAAACCATTATTTAAAAGAAAAAAAAGTAGCCATTTTTGTTCTTTCCTTTCCAGGACCCAACGTCATTCTCTTTGGCAGAGAAAATAGAAGGAAAATAAGTCATTCGATTAGCATTTACTACTGTGGCATATTATGTGCCAGGCTCTGTGCTAAGTAAGCTCTGCCTGCCCCCTGTCATCAGTTACCAACATCTCACCCATCCCTTCTTTGATATTCCTCTTCTCCTCTAGATAGCTTTAAATTTTATTTTTGTCATTCTTCGCTTTCTTCAGAAACCTCAGCTCATTCTGAGCTTTAACATTCCTAACACTATTATTATAGGATTGTGCTGGGCTTTTGCATTAACCTCTGTTACCTGCCCTCATTTCCCTCTTCTAAACATTCCTTTTTAACATCTAAGTTGGTTGATGAGTTCCCCATGCACCCATATCGATCAGTCTCTCCAGATAATTCTCATTTTCCCTCCTCCTATGAATTGGTAACCTTTGTGGCAAAGGCTAAGAGGGAATTGATACTCAAGCTAAGTAAAGAGGTAATCAGAGATTGCTCAGCTGCCTGAGATGAGTTCAAGTCACCCAGCCCCAGTGAACTGCGTCCTAGGACACTGAAAATGGGCAGACTATGGAGCCAATGTTCAGTGATCTCTTAAAGGTCATGGAGAAGGAAGAGGAGAGGTACCCCAGGATTGGAGAAGGGCAAATGAAATTTTCCAAAAAAGTTGAGGGGGGAGGAATTTAGAGAATAGAATTCACAAACTATAGACAGTGAATATGACTTCAATCCCTGACAGAATTCTAGAAAGGAATACTTTTCTAACATTTGGAAAAGTAAGTCTTGTTCACAAAGAACCAGCGTGACTTCAACATGGTTTTTCTGGATAACAAATAATGAAACAACTTGTCCCCGTGGCATTAAGATGGGGGACAGGGCGCAGTTGCATATACCCATATCTATAGACGTAGTCACCATATCGGGTGATTTTGCTTTGTTATAAGGGAGTACTCAATCTGTAGGGAATGACCACTCCCCCTGCCCCCAGAAATGTCTGTCATGGAAAGACAAAGGGCATCAATAAAATACATTAAGAAAAGAGGTCATGCTGAATTAAACTCATTTCCTTTTTTTTTTTTCCAGGTTACCAGATTCTTGGATCAGAGAATGCTATAGATCAGGGGTTCTTAAGCCTGGGGCCTGTGAACTTGATTTTAAAAAATTCTTGATAATTGTATTTCAATATAAATGGTTTCCTTTATTATGATCCTATATACAGCTCAGTTCATTTGATCCTCACAACAACCCTGGGAGGTGGGTGCTATTATCATCCCCATTTTACAGATGAGAAAACTGAGGCTAAGTCTCTCGCTCAGGATCACACAGCATTTGAACTCAGGTATTCCTGACACCATCTAGCTCCCTCTGATTGGTAACTGGTAACCGATCGGATCTGAGAAGCGAAGGAGAGAGAAGAGTCAGGCAAAGAAGACCAGATGAATGGATCAGACTTTGCTGACCATCTAATCCAACTGTCTCATCTGAAAGATGAGGAGACTGGGGTCCAGAGAGATGGCCTCGCCCAAGGTCACCCTGGTGCTAAGTGGCAGAAGTGGAATCTGAAGCTGGGTCCTCTCTCTTCAAACCCATTGCCCTTTCTACTGCTCCTTGGTATATTGTGGGGACATGTTCGAGGGAGGCTCAGTTGCTGCTACAGTGAGTTGTAGTTGCTGGGCAGCAGGGACCACCATTAGGGAGAGTGGTTGTGTTTTTTTTTGTGGTTTTCTTTTTTTAAAAACAACTCCTTTGATGTCATCCATGTAGAAAAAGCCTGGTAAAGCAATTCCTCTCTTCCCCCCACGAATACTGTCTGTAATCTGCAGGGCTTGGGCACCGAGGGGTTAAGTCACTTGCCTGCGGCCAGATGGCTGACACATGCCAGACTGGGGCCACAAACCCAGGTCTTTTTGGCCCTGATGCTGACCTGTGCATTCTAATGTGCTTCTTATCTAAGGGAGAGATCTTAGAAATCATTCAGTCCAGTCCCCCAATTTTACAGATGGGGAAATTGTGTGGCAGAGAAGACAAGGTCCTGTTCGGGTTACTAGTATCTGTGTGCCAAGCACCATGCTCAGGACACAAAGAAGGGCAAAAGACAGTCAGTGCCCTCAAGATGCTCACAGTGAAGTGAAGGCACAAGCATCCTTGTGAACAGGGAAAAAGGAGAAGAGGAAAGGCCACCTACAGGAGGAAGGATTTGAGCTGATTCTTGAAGGAGGCTGGAGAAGCCAAGAGGCAGAGAAGAGGAGGGAGGGCACTCCAGGCATGAGGAACAGCCAGTGCGAAAGCCTGGAGAGGGGAGGTGAATAGTGGAGCTGGGACTGGCACTGGGCCTTTACCTTTCTCTGCATCTTCTCCAGGAGCTTGCTCTTGGCTCTCACTTCCTCCTGAATGGAATCGTACACATTCAGGAGCACCCAGTCTCCACTGTCCTCGTCAGAGTTCTGCAGGGCCGCCACCAGCTGCTTCTTCCGCTCATCCGCGTACCGTTTGCGCCGCTTCAATTTCTCCTTCAGGTCCTTGTTCTTCGCTTGCTCTCCTCCCACCACCTGCTGCTCCAGCATGTGCAACCTGGGACGTGCAGTGAGAGAGAGAGCCAGCTGGGAGGGGGGAGGGCGAGAGCCTCCCAGCCAGGTACAGACACATGTCTACACCTCCCACCACCACCACCACCAGCCAGGGCCAGGCCCTCAGAGGGGAGGATGAAAGGAGCTGTAGGAAAAACTGGCCAGTAGAAAGAAATGGACTGGGCTGGGAAGGCGGCCAGGACACTCAGATCTCACTCAAGGCTCTGCCATGAACTCACGTTGTGATTTGAGGGCAACTCATTTTATTTCTCTGGACCTATTTCCTCTTCCATAAAATGAAAGAATTGGACTACAAGAGGTCTAAGGGTTCTCCCAGCTCTGACATCCTGTGTTCTAAGGCCCCTCCCAGCTCTGACATCCTGTGCTCTAAGGGCCCTCCCAGCTCTGACATCCTGTGTTCTAAGGGTTCTCCCAGCTCTGACATCCTGTGTTCTAAGGCACCTCCAGCTTTGACATCCTGTGTTCTAAGGGTTCTCCCAGCTCTGACATCCTGTGTTCTAAGGCACCTCCAACTCTGACATCCTGTGCTCTAAGGGCCCTCCCAGCCCTGACATTCTGTGTTATAAGAGCCCTCCCATCTCTGACATCCTGTGTTCTAAGGGCCCTCCCAGCCCTGACATTCTAGGTTCTGAGGGCCCTCCCAGTCCTGACATTCTGTGTTCTAAGGGCCCTCTCAGTCCTGACATTCTGTGTTGTAAGAGCCCTCCCATCTCTGACATCCTGTGTTCTAAGGGCCCTCCCCGCTCAGACATCCTGTGTTCTAAGGCCCCCACCCAGCTCTGAAATTCTGTGTTCTAAGGGCCCTCTCAGCTCTGACATTCTGTGCTCTAAGTGCCCTCCCAGCTCTGACATTCTGTGTCCTAAGGTGCCTCCCAGCTCTGACATCCTGTGTCCTAAGGGCCCTCCCAGCTCTGACACTCTCTGTCCTAAGGCCCCTCGCAGCTCGTGCATTCTATGTTCTCAGGTCCTTTCCAGTTCTCTTATTCTGGGTTCTAAGGCCCTTCCAGCTCTAATAACTTTTGTTGCTAACATTCTATGTTTTAAAGACACGGCCATCTTACAGCTGACCTCCAGAAATCTTGCAGGAACAGTCATAAACCAGGGCACTCTTCCTCAGTTCTGACAACATTTACTACACCTCTCTCCCCCTCCAGCCTCCATTGTTATTCCTGGTCACAGACTTCCTTTCTCCCTGATAGAGGATTCCTCATATTCATATGTCAGAAATTCCCAAAGCATTGTGAACATTTCACTGGTACACCCTGGTGATCTGGTGGTGATCCCCACTACATTTGTGATATTGTACCAGTCCTTCATTTCTCTGAGCCTCTGTTTTCTTATCTACAAAATGGGGCTAATAGCACTGACCCAATCTGCTTTGGAGCACTGTTAGTGGGTCAAATGAGACAACACAGTCAAATTTCATTTTTTGAGTCTATGATCTAAGGTTTCTGACTTGCTCTGCTTTTCTTTTTCTTTCTTTCTTTCTTTCTTTCTTTCTTGTTTTTTTCTTTTTGTTTTTGTTTTTGTTTTGGCTAGGCAACGGGGTTAAGTGACTTGCCCAGGGTCACACAGCTAGTAAGTGTTAAGTGCCTGAGCCTGGATTTGAACTCAGATCCTCCTGACTCTAGGGTCAGTGCTCTATCCACTACGCCACCTACCTGCCCCTAACTTGCTCTACTTTTGACACTCAAGGGGATGTCCGAGGGACATGAAATTTTTAATGTATCCCTTAGTGAAAGAGGTTGGGTTGTACAGCTATTTCCCAAGAATAGAGAACACAGGAGTATATCTGTTCCCAAATACTTTTCTCATAAAAACTTCCATTTGGTAGCAAATATATGTAAATGAATCTGCAAAGGTCCTTGGAACACAGGATGTCAGGGCTGGAAGGGCCCTTAGAACCCAAGATGTCAGAGCTGGGAGGGCCCTTAGAACACAGAATGTCAGAGATGGGAGGACCCTTAGAACACAGGATGTCAGAGCTGGGAGGGCCCTTAGGACACAGAATGTCAGAGCTGGGAGGGCCCTCAGGACACAAGATGTCAGAGCTGGGAGGGACCTTAGAACACACAAAGTCAGAGCTGGGAGGGGTCTGTGCTCCCAGAGATCCTTGCCCTTCCGTTCTGTCCTCTTCCTCAGACCTGCTTTCCCACAGCTGGTGTTTGATTTTAAACTGTCTAAATCAGCAGCCTTTGTTGGCTACCAGATGGAATCCTGCTTGGCTAAGCAGTCAGGGCTCCCCCACATCCAGACATCCAGCACAACCCAAGCTCTTCTCTGGGAGCTGATTACCACGTGCCTGGGACACCAAACAGCTTCAGCCTGCTCCCAGTCATCCTGGAGAGCCCAGTGCACCCTCTGAGTTTCCTTTCTCCCTTGTGTTAAAACTAATAAAAACGCTGATGACTGCAGCTCATTCTTCCCTAAGACTTTAAGGATTACACAATATTCTCCCCACAACAGCCCTGGAAGGTCAGTAATGCAAGGTTCAGATTTAGAGAAAGGACTCGCCCAAGGTCACAAAGGTAGTAGCAGAGCCAGAATTTACTCTGGTCTCCTGACTCCCAGATTAAAGAACATGCCACCTCATATAAATGTGAACCTGAACTGTGTATAATTTTAATGACCAAGTCTGGCTCTGGACCTCCCTCCTCACCTCCCTCCTTTGTTTGAAAGGTGAGGGACTATGGGTGTGGAATGTTATATATGCTATCACACATCAATATGTTGCATGGTTTTCCCAAATTGGGAGGGAGGTTACGCTCGGAATGGTTCCCTGAATGTAGGATGCTGGAGGGAAATATTGAGAAATGAATGTGATGCAAAAAAAAAAAAATACAACTTTTTTAAAAAATGAAGTGGAAGGGGGTAGCTAGGTGGCACAGTGGATAGAGCACCAGCCCTGAAGTCAGGAGGACCTGAGTTCAAATCCAGCCTCAGACCAAACACTTGACACTTACTCGCTGTGTGACCCTGGGCAAGTCACTTAACCCCAATTGTCTAAAAAAAAAATGAGGCAGAAAGTTCTCTCCAAGCATGGCTAAGCCAGAAGGCACAATGGGTGTTTGGGGCTCAGTAGAGCAGCTGGAGACCAGGTCAAGGGGATCATCTTTCTGGGAAGAGTTTTGTCATAAAGCATCCATTCATGTTGTGTGGTTGTGGTTGTGGTTGGGTTTGGCCTTCATTTCCTAAGAGGACCTTGACATCAGGAAGGGGATGCCTGACTTGCAAGTGAATTGGATGTAAGTGAAGCAGGGCTGTGCAAAGTCACCAGCCTCCCTCTCTCCTCTGGACCCGTCTGGGTCCAGTGGCCAGATACAGACCAGGATGACTGGAGATGGCCCAGACCCATTCATGCATGCATTCATTCAGCCTCTATGGGCCTGCTGTTTGCAGAGTACTGTGCTGGTCCCTGCCCTCATAGAGCTAACAGTTACCACACACACACACACACACACACTCAATCCTTAGTGCCAGAGAAGCCAGCTTGATGCAGAGAGCTGAATCATTCAGAGACGTCCCTGACCTTGGGAGAGGAAGTACAAATATGCACTGGGCTTGGGGCAAATGACACAAAAGGCATCCTGTAATCAACTTTTTAAGACAAACGCAATTATGGGGACATTCCAGACACTGCCCTGTGATGGGCACCCAAAGACCCTGAGATTAAAAGTGTGAGAAATTCACCTGGAGTCCAGCCCTAGGGACAAAAAGGAGGCCTCATCTGATGACCTCCTATGCTGACTAATTATTCCTGCTAACTAGGTGCTAGAAGTAGAAAGTGAAGTAGAAAACCTAACTGAGAGCTATTAAAGTCTGATGCCCCGGACAGGGCTCCTGACACACAGCCTTAGTTGCAGCTCTATGCAGATGTGACTTGGTAGTCCAGCCCCATGACTTCCTTTTCCAACAGGACACACCTAGCTGTGTGTATGGGTGAGATACTGTGAGAAGATCCGGAGGCAATGAATTAGCCTAGGGCCGGGTAAGCAGCATCACTCCCAAATGGGTCAAGTCAGCCAGGCAGTAGGGTGACACAGTAGATCTGAGTGCTGGACTTGGACACAGGAAGTCCTGAGTTCAACTCCTGCCTCAGATACTTATTAGCTGTATGACTCTGGGCAAGTCTGCAGAGGCCTATTTTCTGTCCTTATGGATCTCCACCCAGCAGGGAGGTTCTCCTGAGAAAATATGAGGCACACCAGGGCACAAAAACACACCTGGGGTGAGGCAGGGCACAACGTTCAGGAAAGGAAGGGAGGATGTTTGCTGGACCAAGCTGATTTTTCAGAATCTATTTCACAGAATTACAGAATATCAGAGCTGGGAGGGCCTTAGAACATGGAATGTCAGAGTTGAGAGGAGCCTTAGAACACAGAATGTCAAAGTTGGAAGAACAGAGAAGGACAGAGCGGGGAGGGCCTTAGAACACAGAATGTCAGAGCTGAGAGAGATCTTAGAACCCAGAATGTCAAAGGTAGGAGGGCCCTTAGGACACAGAATGTCAGGGATGGGAGGAACCTTAGAACACAGCATGTCAAAGCTGAGAGAGGTCTTAGAACATAAAATGTCAAATCTGGGAGGGTCCTTAGAACCCAGAATGTCAGAGCTGGGAGGGCCTTAGAACACAGAATGTCAGAGCTGGAAGGGCCCTTAGAACCCAGGATGTCAGAGCTGGGAAGGACCTTAGAACACAGGACGTCAGAGCTGGGAAGATACGCATATCAATTTTCATTCTGCTTCCCTCAGCCTAGTTACCCTTTTCCAGATATATTCCAGCTTGTCAAGCTTGTCAACTAAATTACGGTCCCAGACATGGAAAGAATGTGCCAGATGTGGTCTGCCCAGGGCAGGGTAGAGCACTCTCACCTCCCTTATTCTGAAGACCATCCCTCCATTATTGTGGCAGGGGATCTGGTTAGCTTTCCCTTCTCTGATCGGCCCAGAGGCTGGTGGATTTCAGCAATGCTTGTGCCCGCCCCAGCCTCCCTCCTGCAGGGCCCCAGAGCAGCCCTCTCCTCTTGCTGTCACCTGGCCAGCACCTGCTCCTGGTCCACGGCTGCAGGGATTTCATCCGTCACCACCGCCACTTCCACTCCTGTGCTCTTTTTTGGGGGGATCCCCACATGCTGGGCTATCTGCGGCGGCTGCTCAGCGTCCTGGGCAGGAACAGAAGGAAGAATGAGGCTTCTGCAGGCTAGCAAGGTGGGGCCAGGGAAGGGACGGAGGTGGCCGGCAGGTCAGGCCCTGGAGGCAATGGAGGGGGGGAATATGGACTTATTCCACTCACTCTTCTCCTCTGTGGGTCTGTGAGTCCTGTGCTCCAGCCAAATCAGACTCCTTTCCTTCCCCAGAAGTCACTCTCCCATTCCACACCTTTGCTTACTCCATGCCTTCTATCTAGAATTGCCTCCCTCCTCTCTTCACCTGCTGAATTCCTGCCCATCCTCAGCCAACACAAATGCCACCTCCCCCACCAGGAAAGCTTCCCGTCTGCACAGGGGTGCCGACCTGTGTTCTAGGGCTGTACTGTTCTGATTAGTGGGGCAGTCAGCGCAGGTGCACATGGTCCACTCTCTCTGGCTGGCCCCAGAGGCTAGACATCCCATGCATTCCAACAATCTCCTGGCCACCCACTTCTCCTCAGGTAAGCTCCATGAGGGCAGGGTCTGCTTTGCTTGTGCTTTGTACCCCACCACTTAGCACACAGGAAGTATTTACTAAATGCTTATTGATCGACTGCTTAATTGAATAGGCTCAACTCAATTGCCTGTAGTCTGCTCAGCCCTAAATTTATGATTCTATGACTGCTCTGGGAGCAGTAATCAAATCAATTCCATCACTGCTTACTCTCCCTTCTAGCGCTAAATCTGAGATGCTATGAACTTAGAGTCTGGTGTAGAATAGTGGAAGAGAGCGCTAGATTTGGGAGTCTGGAAGACATGAGTTCAAATCCTCCCTCAGACACTAGCTGCATGACCCTGAGTGAGTCACTTCTCTCTGGGCCTCCATTTCCACATCTGTAAAATGAGGGGTTTGGACACTAAAGTCCTATGACTCCACTCCCCATCCCTGTGACTTCTCAAAGCAAAACGCCCTTTTCTGGCCACTGCTTCCCCCTTTGTGCTGTTTCCCTCTGGTAGAATGGAAGCTCTCTGAGGGCAGGATTGTCTGACTTCTGCTTCTGCGTCCCTAGCACTCAGCATAGTGCCTGCTACCTAATAAACACTTCATTTTTCATTCATTCATTCAGGCACAGAATCTCAGGCACGGGGACTTGCTGCAGTGATACTGTATATTGTCATTTGTGACTCATCTCACCGCCAGACTACAAGCTCTATAAGACCTGGGATGAGTGTCTTAATTAGACTTTGTCTCTTCTCCTCACTGAACCCAGCATAAAGCTTGTATTTCACTCAAATACACTGAGTGAAAATTAATTAATTGACTTCCTCAAACTCCAGTAAGTCTAAAGCAAATAATTAGACAAACAAAAAAATTAGTTTCTTGCTTTATTGCAATGCCTAGAGGCCTGGATTCAAATCCTGCTTCTGACACTTACTACCTGAGAGATGCTGTGCTTTCTTTCCTCATCTGTAAAATGATGGGGTTGGGGTCCATGGCCTCTAAGGACCCTCTCAGCTCTAAATTCAAGAAGAGCTATGTGTCGTTTCAAAGGAGCTGAGTTCAGGAAACTTGGGTGTTTCTGCTTGGTGTCCGCACGAGGAGGCGATGCTGGCCTGTCATCTGAGCACAGGGCAGGTGGGACCTCCTACAATAGGCCTTGCCCTGATGGCCCCAGGGAGCAGCACTCTCTCCCTCGGAAACCACCTTGTATCTATGTGGCACGTGGCCTGTATCTACTTCTCCATATATGGAGTGTATCTCTCCAGCAGAATATACGCTCCCTGAGGGCAGTGACCCATTCATTCTTGTCCCTGTATCCCCCGTGTTCCAGCACACAGTAGGGGCTTAATGAATGGGATGAGTCTAATTCCTGGATAACATAGAACTAGTCCAGTTCCATAACTAGAGGATGGCAGCCTTGTAGCAAGGCATTCCGGGAATCGGGGAGATGCTGGGGGACCCTTCAATGGGGGCGCCAGGGAAAGGGATGAATCTCTCACACGGGTGACAAGCAAGGCTCCTGCTTCTCTGAATTTGTATCACAACAACCCTGGGAGGGAAGCATGTGTGCAGGACTGAAACCGTTAGAAGCCTTGTCTTGGTGAGATCCTTGTTCAGAATTCTATGTGGGAAGGCAGGCGTGAGCAGCCACTCACACTTTTGGGCACTGTCTCAAAGCCAGGCTCAACTTCAGGCTTCATGTCACTTGGCAACAGCAGGTCGGTCATGGAATACTTGAAATGGGGACGGATGAAAAAGGGAATGGGGTGATCTGAGCAGCAACGCCCTCTCCCAACTACTCACCTCCTCCCTTAACACTGGCATTCAACACCTTCTCCCCCTGCATTGAGGAGAGGAGAGAGAAGGAGAGAAGGGGAAGGGAAGGAGAGAGGGGAGGAGAAAGGAAGAGGGAAGAAGAAGAGGAGGAGGAGAAAGATGAAGGGGAGAGAGGAAGAAGGAAGAAAAGATAGGAGAAGGAGGAGAAAGATGAAGGGGAAAAGTGAGAGGAGAG